GACATCTGGTTCTGGAACGACATGTTAGGCGGCGGTCCGCCATAATTGTTCTGCGACTGAACGGACATGTGGTGCATCTGTTGGGGCTGATTGGGCACCGGTTGGCTCTGCATTTGGTACATCGGGTTCTGTTGGGCGCTCACTTGCATCTGTTGTGTCGGTGCTCTCATCTGAGCCCTCATTGACATAACAGGTTGTCTTCCCTGATAGACCGGCTGTTGGGGAACAGATGTGTTCATCATCTGCTGATTCATTGTCATATTTGGCGCGTTATTCGACTGCATATTAAACTGCGGGGCCGTCGGGTGTCTTGTGCTGAGCATCGCCTTAAGGGCGCCCTTCGAGTGGCCGACGGGTCGGGAGTCAGTAAATCGCGGGCCAACCATCTGTTGCTGCGGCGGAGGATAAAACTGTTGCTGCGAAGGCATCTGTGGCGGAGGCGTGGGCTGAGGGTGTTGTTGTGGATTAGATCCGTACCAGTTTTGCTGCATAGGCTGCGGGAGTGGTGGCTGTGGTGGTGGTGGTGCGCCGTATGGGTCGTTATAATTACCAGACATCCTAATGGGAGGCGTCTGTTGACCAGTACTTCCGCCCCCATTCTTAGGAGTCCTCCTCCGTCGCGGGGCTTTCACTTTCTTAGGAGTGGGCACTCGAGGACTCACCACGTGATCCATCATCAGATCCCTTCTGATGGGATCGTCTATATTCATGTTTGGCATCATATGGTTGGGAACGGTATTCGGCATCATTTGTGGCGGCATTTGATGTGGCATTTGGTGAGTGAGAGGTATGCGATCGTTAGGTATGGGCGGCAAAGGGGGTGCGGGCGTCGGCTCAATAACATCTTCGGGCGGAAGGGGTGGGGGCTCTAAATAATAAGAGGTTGGCTTTCGGATGGAGTGGTTATGTCGAGAAAGTAGGTAATGATTCTCATCGCCTCTCAATGGCTTGCGTTCGATGCGAACGGCGCCAAACCAGGTCCAGCTCAGGGGCGATGGGTTCTTATGGCCCTCCAACAGATCCCATGGCGACACCTTCTGCTTCTCTGCCACCTGTAAGCCCTGTTTCTTATCGATTGAATCAAATCCGGCGATTTTGTTGCCTTTGGTATCGATGAGAGAGCCCATGGGTTCGCATGTAATCACTTCACAGTTTTGTTTCACAATCGGAAGCAACAGTCGGACTATTTTGATGCCCGGAGTTATTCTATCGATGTTTAGCTCTTTCTTAAGCTTTTTGATTAAGTTTTGGTAATGTTTTTTGGTTTCTTCGCGCGCTTCCGATGAATCCGACACAAGAGTGGTGTGCATGAGAACAGTCAACATATCCAACACTGTTGTGAAGATTTCGTAATTGATTTGCGGGTCAACTATCGTAAAGCTGATCAGTTGTATCAATAGGACGGCCCAGTCGTTGATCAAAGACGACGACCGCTGAATCATATCAAACATCCCTCCCATCAGATTCAGCCTCAACTGTAAACCCTCTTGAATGGCGTGTTTGGCCTTTAAGTCGTCGCAAAGTTTCTCATTTATTGCTTGAGATATTTGATTGTATAGTGAGTTAAGAAGGCTTTCCCTTTGATCGTCCTGTGCTTTCAGACACATTAATACGAGAGACAGGAAGGGCTGATGGCTTAGCAGAGAAGTGACTGAATTCGTTGGGTTAGTATTGGAGCTATTCTTCTGCTGTTGAAAACTTCTGTCTTTGTTTTTGGACGAAGAATACGACGAGCTCTGAGACGATTGGTTCGAAGTGTTTGACATCCAGTTCCCCGATTCCAAGACATTTGCCGCCACTTTAAGTATCTTTCCCTCGACAGCAGATGGAAGTTTGGAAATGAGTGGTGCGATCAGCCATACCCTGTCCTTCTGGTTGTGGCTGTCGTTCATACGACTCGACTGTTTATAAAAGGTTTGTCGCGAACTACTTCTGGGGCTAAACAGAGATAATTGTAAACTATTTGATGGACTTTTAGACATCTCTTCGCTGGCATTCTGGAAGTAGTCGACCGTCGCTTTGGCCACGTTTTCCAACCACGTGTTCACTTCGGAGGCCGACTGGGCGTACATAAGCTGCAACTGAAGCCACGACACCCTTATGGACCATTCGTCGAGATTTTGTAAGATCTTTGCGATCGATATCTTTTGATCGGAATCCATCTCTTGTAGGGAATGCATAGCAATGAGCTTTGGGTGACATATCATATTCAACAGATGCTGAGCCTCTTTGTGCGACAGTTTGGGATCCAAAAGCAATTTATTCAATATCTCCGGATCTATCATAAAACCTCTGAGACATCTGTCATGAACCCACTGTTGGCCACAAATTTGTCTCAACGCATACTTCGCCGCTTCACTCAGACCTGCCTTTTCCATGACACCCGGCTTTCCAGACAGAGGCCTTCAAAATACCACAATTATTAAACTCATATTCAAATGACTTAAAATTCATTTTATACTTACAGTAGTCCTAAATCACCGAACTCTTCGTCGCCACCGATTGGGCCTAAGATATCACTTATACTGATCTCTCCCTTACCATCGGTTTTTGATTTTGATTCTGCGTTTCGTTTTTCAGCAGAATTTCCTGGTTTTCATATAAAGAAAGGAAAAGTTGTTAACATTATTATCCAACAAACGCTTCACAAAATCATACCTAAAACAAGAATAGCCTTCAAAACAGTCAAAACAATTTCAATCCGGAGAGTACTGTGAGCCGCGGCCAACAGATACCGATCGCACGGGTATTTGATATTATAGTGAGGCTTTTGAGTCGGATTTGGTGGTGTCTGTGCCAACACTAGAGGGCCCGGACTTGTCAGTGAATATCGAGAGGATGTGGCAAACGATGTCATTGTGTTCGAAGACAATGGAGTTTCCGATGTCTTAAAAAGACAGAGTAATAAATGACACGTAAGTCGAGCGCCGGGTTCGGCGTCTTCGGGAGCGTCAGTAGTAGACGGCGCCAGAAGTGAAGGGACAGCCACTTGGAGTATGAAGTCTTTGAGTGAAAAGCATCGCCTGGCGATCAGTATTGACGTAAAAACAGCTAAATTGTCGTGAATTGAGAGGTCAGAGACATCGACTTGAGTTAACAAATCGTAATAACTCTTGGGATTCGATGAACAACAGAGAGCTTTCAAAACACTCAACCATTCGCTGCTTAAGTGAGAACAGGAAGCGGTCAGTTCGGCGCAGAGCACAGACATCTCATTCAATTTGTCGATATCACTGGCCATCGAAATACACTGAATGGCATTACAGACAAAGGAGTATCGGTCAGAGATATTGTCGTTAAGGTTACGGATGTGAATGGCATCGACTTTAAGTTTGGGATTCTTGAGGTAATCGGCCATAACTGAGGCGTTTAACCGCATGTTTGTCGTGCTTTCCGAATGCATACTCATCTGAGAACTACTCAATTGCTTAATCTTCGATAACATTGTCGTAAAGCCAACGGACTCGTGATATTTGGTCCGCAAATAGTTGTACGAAGAGTGGAGATCCCATAAGTAGAATAGAATACACCGTTCGGCTGATGAACAGTCGCTCGGAGTGTTCACGTGTCGGACCAGTTTCCAGAGTCCCTCAAACACGGCGACCGTCTCCTCGTGAGACACGAGAAGACACGTCTGATATCTGTAGAGAACGCCGACGATATAGAGACCAATGGATGTGCAATAAGTGCGCTCTAAAATGGGACACTTCTGGTGCAATTGGATGTCCACTTCGACCAACTCTTTAAGCATTTGAATGACGAATTCAATCAATCCGTGAACATTGAGAGCCATTTCCATCAAATCAAACAGAAAAGCAATCGATTCTATTAGTGGCAAATAGTTGGCGCTACCAATGGCCACACCGTTCAACATCTCGACGGCTGCGGTGGCACAGGAGGTGGTGACCACGTGCTGGTCAAAGGTGGACAGCGCCTGAAACTTAGCGATCGCTGACTCGAAGTTAAAGCCCTCTTTGATGGCGTGTTTCTTGACTTTCCCGCCGTCGCTGATATCCATCGATGACTTTCTGTTGAAGAGTTTTGTGATCTCTTTCGTAATCTTTTTGACCGCATGTTTGGCCTCATCTTTAGCTTTGCCGACGCCGTACAGCAAAATGTGTCTCTGATTGCAGTCGTGAGCGAATGTCTCGTCCTGTGGGAGCGGGAAATGCATTGTATATAACAGGTGTCGGGCCGTGGCGTTCTTCACCGGTATTTCAGGCATTGGAAATGTCGTCGAATGAGAGCTTAAGCCGGGATTCGGTTCGTCCTCTTTGTCCGATCCGACAGAATCGGGGAGTAATATGTCTGCAAACAAATGGTGTGTTTATTATTCATACAATTTATGCGTTAATCGTATGAATAAAAATGAGATAAAGTAAAAGGAGAGACCATTAAAACCATTTAAATAATTGTTTGAATTGTATAACGAAGTAATAAAACCAAAAGCCGAAGAGCGACCCAACCCTTTACGTCGCTTCTTATGACTCACTAAAGAGTTTTGTTTTTTGGATTTCAAGACAATTTCAAGTCATGCAAAGTGTGTGAGAAGTGAATGTATTTTTTGATTTCATTTCATGCCATAAATCAAAAGAATATAAAAACAAAAGTTAATATAAAGTAAAGAGAAATCATATGAAAATAAATTGGGAAACAGTGACAATTGAGAAATGGGTGGCGTGTGAGCACCGGTACCGACCTGCCTGGTCAGACATGTTCTGCTGCCCCGCCTTAATGTGTTGCAACAGTTTGTCTAAATCCTCGTCCAGATTCTCATCCAGGTTCTCGTCGATGTCCATCGAAGGCAATTCCCAGCGGTTTTGGTCAGTTTGTCCGGCGTTCACGTTATTGGACAGCGGATCAAACATCGGCAGTGAAGAACTGGAAGTGCTTTTCTGAATACCATTTGGCACGAGTCCTCCTAAATGGTTGTGATTGTCGTTATTAGTCGACAAATTAGGCACAAATCCAGCCAAAGACGAGGGCTCTTCCATTGGGTTGGCTTTGGAAGTACTGGTGCTGTGAGACAGCAGTGATGTGTTGGGAGAGTTGGAGAACTGTCCGCGCGATATAAGAGTACACATGTAGAGGTCGTGGGAGAAAACATCTCGACGTATGAGTTCTCCAAACAGTAATATTAAATTAGAAAATGCCTGCTTATTGTCACTGCTGTTGAGACCTATCTTATCTTCATATACCGGCGCCTGTATGTCAAGAAAATTGAGTAACAAATTCTGAAATATTGGTGTCGATAGCAGTGATTCCGAAGATCTGTTGGCATTATTAGCATTCGTCGGCGAATTGTTTGCTGTATTTGTATTGTTATTACTGGTGACCGAAGTGTTTGCATTAGGGGTCACTTCAGAGTCCATTTCCTCGTTTAAATCAATGTCTTTGTCAGCCGTGAGCTCTGTCTGTCTCTTCTCCAACAGCTTCGCCACCACAAGAGCTCTGTGTTCGCCCGTCCTCTTGATACTGACGGCCCACTCACACAGCAAACGCACAATAGGCTCGTCTTCGGTCATCACTTGACTCGCATTTCGACCGACATTCTCACCATTGGATCCATTGTTTGCGTTACCATTGGTTTGGTTCGCGATATTATTGGTGGCATTTGTGTTAAATGGTGTGAATATCTTGGTGTAGAGCGTATCGATTGAATTGTTTGAATCGAGTTTATCGAAACACTGTCTGTCGAGAGCGTCCAATACGTTCAGCAACTTATTAACAGTGGTTCCGGGAGTCTGTTCCCATCGATCGCAAGACCAATGCATTTCAGACATTTTACTCCTCTGACGGATCTCTTCCTCCGCTTTACGCAATTCGTTGCGAAGATATTGATTGTGAGATCGCGAGGGCATCGGTAGGTTCGACGGCTCGCAGGGAAGGAAGTCTAGGGGAGAGCCCTGAAGAGTTGTCGCCGCTTTACTGTCGCCCACATTCAGCCATATTAGAGCCGATGGACAGTCGAGTGTAATGATCTGAATCATGACAGACAGACCTAATATGACATTTCGATGGTGTGAACACTCTGTCAACTCATTAAAGCATGCGATCAGTTGAGAACTTGCACTCGAATTCTGAGCACCAGTTCCCGCATTTGTCACCGAAGTGTTGGCGGTGTTTGCGGTAGAGTTGAGACCATTCACCGAAGTGTTGGAAGTAATACTCGTATTCTTGGAGTCCTCACTATTGGTGTCGGCGCTCGGTTCCAGTGGTTGGTCAACACTGAAGTCGGCGGTGAGTTGACTCAGTTTTTTGGCGCACTGGTAGGCGAGCTTACGGGACAACTGTTCGGATTGCGTGAACTCATCGACATATTGCAGGACTAATGGCACGACAATACCGATGACCGAGTCGTCCGGCGACTTAATCTTCTCCAAGAGCTCCAACAACCACAACAAGAAGTCGTATTTGTCGAGCAGTCCGTCGTCGAAGAGATGTCGTGCCAGTTGTGTGTAGTACCGCCACTGCTTGGGAATACGGGGTCCGGTGGTCGTGACGGAGGCCGTCAAGGGGTTGGTGGGGGTGGCGGTGACCCCGTGATAGTATTCGCACATCTTCTGGTACTGTTCCCTCAAGAACTTGCACAGCGCTTGCGTCCACTCGACCGACGTGTCCGGCAGTTGGCGTTTGGACTTCTTGTTGTTGGACTCACTGATGGCCAAGTGATGGGCGGCCGACATCTTCACGAACCACTCGGCCTTAAACATCGGAATCTTGAACTCATAGAGACTGACGAAGATCTCCTCCTTCTTGTTAAATATGGGAACCTTTCGCGACAACTGCGACAGCGTCTTGGCATTGGAGGCCAAGTCCTTAAACCAGGCGTCGACCGCGTTCTTCGACTTCGAGGTCACTAACCATATGTTGTCTTTGGTGTTGATCTGATGCTTCTTGCGAGTGGTCTCCGGAAGTGTGTTTAACTCGAGTTTCTTCGACAACAAAGCACTGAAATATGAGCCAAACTTATTGGCCGTGAGATTGGCGTTACGCGCGGATCCGTACTCTTCCGATATGAGGGAACTGTTGCTGAAGCCCTGCTTCACGTTCACGGCTGTCAACTCGTCCTACAAAACAAAGGCAACAATTGTCTTAATACGTGACCCAATGGTGGTATCATTCACTCGTGAGCACCTCTTTCTGTTTGGGGTCCTGTGGGTAGACATCGGGCGGACCCAACTTCGCCCTCTTCAGCGGCCTCTTCTCGTAGAGCCAACTCGAGACCACGACTGCGGACATGATGTCGATTGTCACTGCAATGGGTCAGTGATTGTGTCCACAAATTGTTGTCATTTTGTCACGAATTGAGTGCAAAGTGTGTGTTGTGTTGGCCACAGATGTCACCACTCGTTGCCAACCAATCGTTGCATTCACATTGGGTTGCATTCAATGCATTCGCCGCTTATTATACCGTATCATATGATTATATGATAGTATCATTCATATTATCATATGTATGAATGGAAATTAAAAAGGCCTCTAAATATTTTTTATATCTGTTTAATATTCACACAAATATTTATTAAGTAGTGCAGTGTGTAAGGGAAAACCCACAAATTGACTCAAGCACAAAAATACGTACAATCGTATAAAACTTTAGAGGCCTATTCAATTTCCACTTATACATATGATAACCCTTTCATCAAACTCTCAAATTGCAGAATATTTTTCCAAATTACCTCATACTGACCCTGGTCATTTGATTTAATAGCTAAATAACCATGGTATATTTTAATTATTGTTAGTTATAAATGTCGTCTTATACTGAATACTGTATCAATAATTTTGTAGGCCTAGTGGAAAGGGATGCTATAGTTATAGGCATAGTTGTAGTACATTGTATCCCCGGTTATTGTCGGACACTTTGCACACATTGGGGGCTAACAGTAATGTGTGATTCATATGAACCCCTAAACCAAATATATAATTCAATACACAATCAATTGATATGAGTGCACAACACGTGAGCGCACAGTCCAGTCAGTCATGTATGGGTAGGGTTGGGGTGACCACTGGGGTACCCGTCATACAAAAATGGGGTTCAGGTGTGTAGACGGCTATTGGCACCGATGGTCGTGCCATTCAGTCTGTATTAGGCTGTGAGACAACTGAGTATCCGGACTGTATGGCTGTCCACCTCCGGGA